AGCTGAGATGACCTGAAAGAAATGATACCCCAGTGGCACCAAGCACACCTTACATTCAGATAATTGGTTTCTATTGCCATTCTCTAGTGAAAAGGAACCAGGGCTCACGGGTGCAATGGCTTATGGTAGGACTGGGGCAGGAAGTACACAAGACAAGTCTGGAGCATCTTGCAGAGCCAGAAAGTCACGAAGTAAAGCACCTCACGTTGATAGGGAGTAGGATAAAAGAGAACAGGACCGAGTGAAGGAACTCCCAGTGGCCAAAGCTAGAACAACTTGAGAAACAAAACAGTAAAGTAGTATTAGACAGTAAGTATTAAACAGTAAAGTAGTAGTAGTATTAGTAGTATAACCCAGAGTACAAAATAAATATCCATGACTCCACAGTAACATAAATACTCGAATAAATTAATAAACAGTGGAGAAAAGCCAAATCTCCCATGTGGAAGAATCCCAGGTAATTTATGTAGATGCTCTGTTCTCCCAGAGGCGGGCATAATTCTCCTCTCCTTAGGTGTGGGCAGTGCATAGTGACTTCCTTCCTAAGAAGAAAGTACAGAAAGGGAAAAAAAAGAAGTTTACAGTGGAGAATCCTGACAAATACCACGTCCCAAGTGATTAAGGTCAACATCAGAAGTCATAAATCAAAAAAAAAGAAAAAAGGAGAGAGAAGTCATAAATCATGTTGATTGCACAGATCCTTGATGTGATATCTTGAGAATGACATTTTACCTCTGTGATCTTCCTCCCAATAACCCATAACTCCAGTCTTACCATGAGAAAAGCATCCCACAAATTCCACTAGAGGATCCTATAAAATACCTAAACAGTACTCCTCAAATTGTCAAGGTCATCAAAAACAATGCCAGAGGAACTGCCACAGTCAAAAAGAACCTAAGGATACTTGAGAACCAAATATAACATGGTATTCTGAATGGAATTGCGGAATAGGAAAAAAAATATCAGGTAAAAAAATCTAAGGAAATCTGAATAAACTATTGACTTTAGTTAATAATAATGTATCAATATTGGTTCATTAATTGTAACAAATCTACCATACTGATGTAAGATGTTAAGAATAGGGGAAACTGAGTATGAGATATAGGTGGCCCTCCTGTACCATCCTCTCAATTTTTCTGTAAACCTAAAATTATTCTAAAATAATAAAGTCTTTTATAAAAAATAAAACAATGTAAGAGTTAAAAAATAATGCCAAAATGTCATGAGTAAGGAAGATATTCAATTCTTATAGCAAATGCTATAAAAGTTTCATCATTCATTTACTCATTTAATAACTATTCCTTCAGTGACTACCCTGAGCTGGACAGTAGCTACCCACTGACTAAGGATATATCAGTTAGCAAAACACCCATGGTTTCTACAACCATGTCTTACAACCTCATAGGTAAAACATAAGTCAACGCAAAAGTAATATTTTCAAATTTTGGCACATACTATGAAAAGAAATGCAAATTGTAATGAAAGTACGTATAGTGAAGTTTAATCTAATGTGAACAGGGATGGTGTGAATGGGGAAGATAGATACTCTCATTTTCATTTTCTAAAAGGAGAAATTTGGGCTTCTCAGGGATTTCCAATAAATCAGCAGTAAAATATAAAAGAGAACTAAAAACCTTGATTGTTGTTGTCCTCTCGAATTTCAAAATTTGATATTGTAATACCATTAATGGTAATTTTTGAAAATCACCAAAGGTGAAAAAGAATGCAGTTCTCCTGAAAAATCTGATTCGCCTAAAATAAGCATCAAAAATTACAAGCTAAAATTAATTCTGCTGCATGATTCAGGGAACAGTGAGTAACCTTCATGAAGTAGAGACTTCTACTGTAAACTGATGAGATAATTGTTTAATTTATGAAGAAGCAAAGATACCTTTTTCTCACTCTGATAATTCTGTAAGCGCTTTACAACATGCAAAGATGTTAACTGGAATGGTGAATATAAAAGTTTCAAATGTTTCTACATAAGTAACATTTTAAAGAAAATTAGACGATTACTCCCTAATGAATAACATCAACCTTCTCTGACCTATTGAGCAAACTCAATTATTTCTTGATAGCGGCATTAAGACTGAATAAATACGACCATATTTTGTCTTTATAGATTCTATTTCTTTATACTTTAGGTAGATTGAAAAGAAAGCATTCTTTAAAATAACTCTATTCAAATTCAGCTATTCAAATTCAGGTATCCCAAAGTCTTTGAAATTATTCAAATAACTTAAATAATAATTTTATCAAACCACATTTCACTTGTATACTATGACCACACTTTGAATATGGGTTAAAACAATTAATTTTAAATTAAACTAGATGTGGAATTTACATTGACAAATATTCAATTTACCTCCAGATGCATAAAGGACTCATGAAATACCGCTGTCAATCACTTTCCTAATGCATGGTAGCTCTAATAAGGTAGTTTCTTTAAAGCCTTTCACCACAGATTCATGCATCAAGGTCACAGCATGTCCCTTGTAGGACAGCAAGGCACCACTTTCATGAAAAAGTATAGTATGGAGTCAAGGGTGACTCTTTTCTCTTAATTTTAAAAGAATGTATTTCAAAGTTCAAGAAGAAAAATCATTGATCCATTGAACGCATATGATCCAAAGAACTAAAATTTTCTGTGTGCTTTTATTGTGTTCTGAGCAGCACGCTAATCCCTCTGCACTATCCCTTCAACAGAGTCTGTACATGTAAGCTAAGAGCACAGAATCCAGAGTCGGACCTCTGCGTCCTAGTTCCAGGTCCACCGTTCCCTGCAGCATGGCCTCGGGAAAGTAAATAACCTCGCTGTGCCACTGTTTCTTCAGCTATAAAATGGAATTAATGACAAGTTCTACTTGTCATCCATGTTAAATGGAAATAATGCTTGTAAAGCTCATACTGCTTATTTTCTCTCCTAAATAATCCTTCCGAGGAGACAAAGAGATGTTTATATCTTACAACTCTGATGACTAAAGTTCTCAAGAAGGATATATTGGGTAGTGTAGAACTTGTGATCACCTGCATTTGAAACACAGAGCTTGTTGAACTACATACTCATGGGACCTACCCAGACATATGAAATATCTGGGGCTGGACTTGAGAGGCTGCATCTTAAACATTCCAGCTCTCTGCTATGTACCAAAGGCTGAGATACCTGGGATAGCCATCTGATTCTATACAATATGGATGATTATTATCATATCTATCTTATGGTAGAGTTGTAAGGATTAAATGAAATATAGCATATATAAAATGCTTAGCAATGTCGGCAACTTTCACTATTAGCTATTATTTTATTAATATGGCTGGAATATAGGATCTGTGTCATGAGTACTAAGAGGCAAGGGTGGAAAAGAAGGCTGAGGTTGTGAAAGTTCTCAAGTCAGTTAAAAATAAAAGTCTAAACTAAGTGTTTTGACGAGGAAGGCAATATCATCACAACTTGCTGGCAAATATATTAACACAGATAAGAGTCTGCCTGCCTAAAAATTAAACAAAATGAGGCTTCAATTTTTTTAACTAATAAAAATATTGTGCTAGAGAATATATCAAGTAATTACAAAGTATTTATTTAAAGACTATCAAATAATCCCCCACTCAAAGAGAAAGAAAACAAATTATTTGTATGTAATTTCAGTTGCACAGTTGAGCCCCTAAAAAAAGAGATGGTACTCTAGAGGTTATATATTCATCTCCTTAAAAGCTAAGTGCAGCAAATACTAGGAATTAGAATATACCCTGCATTGGAATTACAAAGGTCTTTGCCATAAAATGTACTGTAACCTGACTTCATCTTGCGTTTTACGTGTCTTGTCATTTCTTTTGCTCCATTTCTCCCCCCACGTCTCAACATATCACTTCTATGCCTCACTTCCGATTGCATGGGGCCCACTTTAAGTTTCAAGGCGTATGAATACTATTTAAATGACAACACTTTTCAATAAGTACCACTCTGGAAAAAAGTCCTGAGTGTGTGGTATGTGTTGCGAATTTACTGTTCCTTCCTTTAGTTTGACTTGGTCTTTCTCCACTTGCCTTCAGCTGCCTTAGCTATACCATCTATTCCTGTTTTCACCAAACCTCTGATATACGCTCAGCTGTAAACCATACAAGTAACACGCTCGCTGGTGCAGCCACAGCAGGTGACCCAGATTACACAACACTGTGTTCTAACACCAAGGAGTCTTGTTCAACAGCAGCTGATCTATGCCTTGCCTTATTGATATTCAGATTCGACAGACACAAATCACATGGCCCCTTTGACAAGCACACACTCTGCCTGTCTTTGTTTTAAGCATGTTCAATAGCTACTGTCCTTCATAAACACACAGCTGAGGCTGTTGGTCTCCTCTGATTTTCCACACTGCCGAACATCCGACAAGATTATCTCAGAAACATTACTCTTGTTTCAATTTGGGGAAGTTTGTGGAATATGACAACTCCATTTATAAAACAGAAGCACATACAATAGAAAGGAAGCCCATTTCTCTCTGGCAAAAGAAATGCTTTGAACCATTATCCTTTGGGGAAAATTGAGACTCTATCTCCTTGATTGTGAGAGCAAATGTTGGGACACCAAGTTCTTTAAAAGTGAAGATACATACACAGTACTGGGAATAAAATGCTATATAGCTTATGATTAATTTCCTTTTAAAGGATATCAATTACAAAGTGCCAGATCTATTCCATAAAAGTATAAATACATCAAAAAACCTTCTCTATGTGGCCATTTCAACCTCCTGCTCACCACTCAAAAGACTGAAAAAGAATATTTTCTATTAGAATACTTACTGGAAATCATAGAATCAGAAAATTGTTCACACTGACTGGTCCCACTGATTTGTTTAACACAGGACGCTTGCTCACACCAAATTCTTTTTACTTTTTTTTAAAGCCTTTCATTTTGTAGAACATGCAACACTACACACTTTTCCCATGAAATACTTAAAAGTCAGGAAATGCCAGAAGTTCAATAAATGGAAGAGGCTTACTTTTTATGGAGATGAGCAGTGAGAGACTGAGGCAGAAGATGAGAAGGTGGGTAACTGTCTGAAGCGCCATGGTCTCGTGGAGGACATGCTCCGACGTGCTGGTGGTGGTCTGGTCCCTGTCCAGCTCCCGAGCTCTGCCTGACTCAGAAAGAAGCCAGAGTCTCACAGCCCCTGGGTGCCACCTCTGCCCCTTCCCCTCCTACAGCTCCCTCACAGAAGACTGGGGACTTAGATTCGGAAAGCAGTTGTGATTCTTAGCATCTTACTTACACAGGAGGATGGGGTGATTTTTCAAACCTGGTGCAGACTTTCTTCATGCTGGACTGGAGTCATCCCCCCTCAGACCTTGTGTACTACTTTCCTTCCTTTAACAATGCTGCCTGAAAAGGGCCTGCTTTAGGTGAGTGTCCTGAATCATTCTTAAAAGAGGAATTAATTTCTGATGACCGTCTTGGCACACAATCATTATGATCTGACAACTATTAAAGGAACACCCTGTATTTCTGTATATTTACCTTCATCTTCAGAACACAATTCACAGACACGTCACCTTTTCATAAACATACTCTCACAACTCAGTCAGATTACAGTTGTTGATAAAATGGACAGAGTTCTGCAGACTATTTAGAAGCAGTTTTTCTTCCATAAACCTAGAGCCCATTCCTAATCCTGTTCATGATATTTATAACCTCTGGGGTTTCTTGAATTTTTGCTTTACCATAATTGTTGAATGCAAATATATTTGCTTATTTTTTATATATACTTATGCTAAGTACTGTGGTATTTTTCTTCAGATTAAATTGTTCAAGTCCTTAAGACTGTATTTTCCTTGGACACTTCACGGAAACATCTATAGTTAAAGTCAGATGTCTTATTCTCTAAGGTTAGTGCTAGTACATGGCCTTGCTCCGTTGTTACACTCAAAATGCAATTTACATTTCAGATTTTGTGTAAAACTTGAGAGCTCTGTCAGAAGTTTATGTATTTCAAAGTCTCTATATTTCCTGCTTGTGTATTTAAATAGGGAATAATATTTTGATGGCTTAATGTTTTCTACTAATGTTATATGCTGACCCACTCCCAGAGGATTTTACTTGCTATAGTGGGGCTTATCCATTTTAGTTTTTTCTTTCTTACAGAGTTCATGATAGTTATTGTTTTTAAAGATTTTCCCCTATAATGCAAATAATTTAGCTTGAGCAATTTAACAATTAGAGTAAAATAATTACAGATTATAGAGGCAGTATTAATCCTCTATTCTAATCCCTGTATTTTATCAGTTAGAGAATGAAAATGCAGAGAAATTATACTGTCTGCCCAGAGTCATCTAGAAAGATATGGCAGAGTTAGGACTAGAGTCTCCCCATTGATTTCTAGAACATTATGCCTTCAATAAACCCTATGGTTTCCATTTTCATCTTTATTCTTACATATCCCTTTATGCTTTTTGCAATGTGGACTCTGGGAAATCCACATACTGGAACGACCAAATCTTCCATCTGTCCTAAAAAGGCCTCCAGGGAGAGATGAATAGGCAGAGCACAGAGCATTTTTAGGGCAGTGAAAAATGCTCTGTATTATATTATAATGATGGATACATGTCATTATACTTTTGTCCAAACCCACAGACTGTATAACACCAAGAGCAAGCCCTAAGGTAATGGACTTTGGGTGATTATGATTTGTCAATGTAAGTTTACTTAATAAAAAATGTACCATCTGGTAGGTGATGCTGACAATGGGGAAGGCTCTCCATGTGTCGGGGCAAGGCGTATATGGGAAATCTCTATACCTAACTCTCAATTTTATTGTAAACCCTGCTGGCACAGTGGTTAAGAATCCGCCTGCCAATGCAGGGGACACGGGTTTGAGCCCTGGTCTGGGAAGATCTCACATGCCGCAGAGCAACTAAGCCCGTGAGCCACAACTACTGAGCCCAAGTGCTGCAACTACTGAAGCCCACGCACCTAGAGCCTGTGCTCCGCAACAAGAGAAGGCACAGCAATGAGAAGCCTGCGCACCGCAGCGAAGAGTAGCCCCCCCTCACCCCAACTAGAGAAAGCCCGCGCACAGCAACGAAGACCCAATGCAGCCAAAAATAAGTAAATAAATAAAATTTTTTTAAATAAATAAAAAAATAAAACTGCTGTAAAAAATAAAGACTTAAAAAAGAAAAAAGGGTTCCACCATGGACCTCATGGACCTCAAGGCTAAGTGAGTGACAACGTACAAGACCACTTGATAGACTGGAGAGGAAATGAAGGGCTCCAGGCATAGTATCTGACAGTACTAGAAAACTTTCTGTAAAGTTGTGTTATGAGTGTCACAATTAAAGAGGCAAAGAAAATTTGGGTTTTTCAAAAGACAAAATTATCAAAGATAATAAGTGGCTGGGGAAACATATTACACAAAGAATGTTTGAAGAAATTGTATATGTTGAGCTTGAATATAGGAAAATAATCAGATATAGCTATTAAACAAAAGAGTGAATGGCTACTATGTGTCAGATTTGGGGCAAGTTAGGAAATCTTTACAAAAGAAGTAATATTTAAGCTGAATTTTCAAGTGTGGGTGAAACAAATAAATAGAGGGAAATTGGTGTTTAATGGCTTTTCAGGAAAAGGGCATGTGTATACGAATAGAGGCATACAGTGTATGGGCAGATCAAGGAACTGAACATATTCTGATATTGCAGAAATACAAGTATGAACAGGGCAATGTCAGCACATAAAACTCAGTAAACCACAAAATCAAGGTAGTTTAACTTCTAATATGAAGAAAGGAAACAATCAATAGGTTTTAAACAGTGGATTGGCATAATTTAATTAGATTTGCATTTGGAAAGATAACTCCCATGGTCACGTGGCAATGACTGGCAGAGGGCAGATGAGAAGCATGGAAACCAGTGAAAAGGATGTTGTCATAGCCCACAAGAGAGCGATGGGGCCCAAACTAAATCAGACAGTGGGGAGAGCAAATGAAAAAAAAAAAGAGTAAAAGTAAACTAGATAGATCGAAAGGACTGAGGTTGAGAATAAGGCTGCAGAAAAGCTATAATTTTTCCAGCTTGGGCACTTGGGATAATAGTAATGCACTCACAGAAATAAATAATATAGACAAGGGCTTCCAAACAAGAAGGAGCAAGCACTCTCCTCCAAGTCAAACACATTGAAATACATGCATTTGGACAAACTATAACTTTCGTAAAAATACATAGGCTAGCTCTAAAAGGGGGGGGAGGGGAATATCCAATTGGGACAGAAATCTCTTGCCTTTTGGCTTCATGCAGGGGACGAATTCCAATTCCTCCCATTGGCTTTGGAATGCAGATTGGAAGCAGGACTCCTACTCTTGAACGTGGATAGATGGCTCCCTGTGAGAAACAGGAACCCAGACCTGCCCCATGTGTGAACCTACACCATGTGGAGGTCTCAACTTGCACTGAACATGGGGTGCAAAATTCTAAGCCAAAAATCTTATTAAAAATAAAAAGGCAAGAAAGAAGTACTTGTTTGGAAATAGGAAAATCAATGGTCCAGTGAGAGGAGCCTGATAGGAACCATTGTGTGGGAATGCTGTAACTCACTGTTCACATAGGGTTCCTGTGGAAGGCAGCCTCTACTGAAGATGAGCTCACAGTCTAAAACTATCGATCAAACTAGAAACCCACTGCCATAAGAGACAGAAGACATGACAAACGGAAACATTCACACTCAAAAGACTCAAAGAAAATGGAGCTATCAGAAGAGACTTTAAAATAACACTATAAAAGGTCTGTTTAAAATTTTTAAAGAGATAAAAGAATGCATGAAAAACAATTAGGCCTATTAGAAAGTGAACCAAATATAAATTCTAAAAATGAGAAGTAGTCATTGAAATAAAAAAATTCAACTGATGGCTTAAATGGTAGACAACACTACACTCAGCTAACTAGCAGATGGTTCCGAAGAATTCATCCAGAATAGAGCGGTATGAGATAAGGAGATGGTCCAAAAGAATGAACAACGAAGAGAGGTAGAAAGCTCTACTCCAGAAGAACGAAGGAAGAAAATGGGGAGGATGTAATTCCTAATGGTATATATTTTTTAAATATGAGAAAAAAAATATGACTTCTTGAATTTAGAAAAGCCCACTGAGTCCCTAGAAGATACCATATTTAAAGTGCATCAAAAATAAGTGAAATAAGACAAAGTGAACAAAATAAAATCTTAAAGGTCAATATTTGTCTTTAAAGTTAAAAAGTCTACAGTGGAATGACAGTAAAAAGTGCTGAAGACTTTTCATCAATAAGCTAGATGTCATAAAACAAAGAATATAGGAGGAGATGAAGGTGTGTAGATATAAATAATAAGTATGGTTATAAAATATGTTCAGTTTGAGGTGCCTATTCAAAAGCAAGATGAGGATATGTGATAGGATCTGGAAATACAACTCCAGAATTCAGGACAGCAGTTCTTCTTGGTGGAATAGATAGGTATCATATTAATGTACAAACATTTTCTGAGTGCCTGTTGTATACCAGACACCAGAGTAAACATCAGTAATTCATATATATATGTTAAGACAGGCTCATTGCCCTTATGGATCTACACTCTAGTGAGCAGATGCAATCTAGTGAGAAAAAATACTTCATCATTCAGTTACTTGAGGTTTAAAATTGACTTAATAGAGTGCAAAGAGCACTGGTTATCTTCAGCTGATTACCTGCTCTGGACTGCAGATTCTTTCCTGGACGCTCTCTCGTTTAATACCCACAGAATCGAATCTCCATAAAGTATATAAAGTTCTCTCGATTCGACAAAAGAGAGACTGAGCCAGCCAGGTCAAACATATAATAAGTGATAGAGTTCAGATTCAAACTCAGTTCTATTAATCTATTGTTCTTAATTCTTGTCATGATGGTATTTATTTTTAATTATATAAGTAAATTATAAATGTATTCTTGTAAAAATACTCTAAAGAATCTTTGATGAATACCAATCTCACACTCCTCCCCAGAAATAACCATTGTTATTGTTTGTGAAGATTGTTTTATACCATTCTAGACTACACGTTGACAGATATATAGATGACTGATTGATAGACTGATAGACAAATTATTTGGCTTCTTTTCATTTTTTTCTTTTTAAATAATATTA